CACCAACACCAACACCAACACCAACACCAACACCAACACCAACACCAACACCACCACCACCAACAACAACAACAACAACAACACCAACACCACCAACAACACCAACAACACCAACGACCAACAACCAACAACCAACCACCAGCCACAACAACCACCACCACCACCATCACCACCATCACGACCACCACCACCACCACCACCACCACCACAACAACAACAACAACAACAACAACAACAACAACAACACCAACACCAACAGCAACCCAGGAGCAACAACAACAACGATGTTATCGCCGTGGTCATCCTCATCACCAACATGCTGTGCATGCTTGATTTTGCGAGAATTGGTTAGAGGATTGATGTGTTTTTGGTGATACTCCTTGCCCGGCACCCCATCAGCAGTTCTTTCAGCCTCGCTCAGCTCCCTCGTCCCTTAGCTGCCGGATGTGATGGCACTGGCTCAGCCTTTGGAGTTTGGTTTTCCATTCTAGCTTTGTTTGCCGTCTCCTGGCTTTCATACAAGTGTCATCCGTCCTGAACTCACCAAAGCCGTCCAAGAGGTGGTGACAGTGTCACGGTGAACTTGGCACTGGACAAGTACAGGCGGGTCATGGGAAGCGGTTCATGAATCCTATGAGGGTCCCCATAAATCAACATACTTTGTATTCGTGTTGGTAATAACCATCTTTGCGCTCCAACGTGCTGTTCACGCACGCCGTTCAAAGCATGAAGTAGTAGGTAAAGCAGGATTACATGGCAGGCGCAGCACTTTCAGGCTTTAGAACGTTGGGAAGGGAACAACTTTCAGGCACCGAGACTACAGTAAAATTGGTCGGAAATGCGCTGCGGCTTGGGTTTTGGACACATCGAGGCGTTTAAGTGAGGGCATGTACTGAGCAAGCCCCTGCTTCGCACATGTTTTGCCTGCGAGGAACTCAGAGCTTCAGCCAGTCCTTGTCTTTTGTTGGGTCGGGAAACTCTTGGGGGCCATGCCCCAGCTCGTGCACGGACGGAGCGCATGAACGGGCGGAGTCTGATCTGGACG